TTTCTCAAGTCTGCGCAAAGTCAATTACACAAGCCTTTCTCTTCTTAACATCTTGCCAGGCCTTTTCTCAAGTCTGCGCAAAGTCAATTACACAAACATTTCTCTTTTGGTCGTTTTGCCAGACCTTTTCTCAAGCCTGCGCAAAGTCGATTACACAAGCCTTTCTCTTCTTGACATCTTGCCAGGCCTTTTCTTGAGCCTGTGCAAAGTCAATTACACAAGCCTTTCTCTTCTGGTTATCTTGCCAGATCTTTTCTCAAGTCTGCACAAAGTCAATTACACAAGTCTTTCTCTTCTGGACATCTTGCCAGGCCTTTTCTCAAGCCTGCACAAAGTCAATTACACATGACTTTCTCTTCTGGACATCTTGTCAGGCCTTTTCTTAAGCTTGCGCAAAGTCAATTACACATGTATTTCTCTTCTGGACATGGTAACCTTACCTTTTGCACGCCTTTTCATCGGTAGATGGCACACCTTCCCCCACTCAAAATGCGATGTCCCCATCGCACTACTGGTTCTCACTCGGAGGAATGCAGACCTTGGCCCACCAATAGAGTCAAGAACAACGACCCACCTGCTCCTAGAAGGAAGGGTGATCAGTCCTTCCTCGACAGGTAACACCTCATCCTTGTACTTAGTCCGACCTTTTGCCGTTACGAGACTGGCGTCATTGCTGAGGTACCACCTCACATCCGGCAGGTAGGTCCAGTCCAAACCTCCTAGGACCTCGTCTTGCCGTAAAGACTTTCTCGGCGAATCGTTCCTCCTGAGTGATGTTTTTTTGGATCCGGCCTCTTCCTTTCAAGAGAGTTGGGGCTCTCTATTAGTCTGCGAGTGCAGTTACGAAGACCTCGTGGTTAGTCCCGGAACGGTTGTAATGATCCGACAGGGCGGTGTTACTCGCCCTGTGGTGGTTGTGGCTTTCACCCGGTACCACGCCCGACCCCTCCCTCTGGACAGTGTCGCTCAACTTAATGCGAGCAGCCTTGGTCCATTCCAAACGGTCGCGCCGCCCCTCTATGGTATGGCGTGTGGTTGGGGAGAAAAAATGAGACTTAGAAAAAAGAATGACTCTCTCGTTCGTTTGGCTCTAAACCCTTGACGTTTAGGTTCTCAACATGAGGTGCAGTTCGAACTTCCCGACTAGAGCTCGTTGTCGGAGTTAGTTCCGAACGGCCAGCATCAATCAAATAGAACGATGCCTTGGTCCTTCAACCCTTATCTTCCCTTATGAGGAATAGGTCGCGCTGAGACTTTTCCCTTGACGGGTAGAGGTCTTGGGATCGCGATGCATGCATCGTTATCCTCCTTATGTTGAGACTTGAGACTAGAAAAAATGAAAACTCAATCTCTTGCTATTTCCATGGTCGGTCCGACGACCTTTCATTATATTGCTTAGAGTCCCCTGGCTTATGCAATGCAGTTTTCAATCCTCAATCACTCAATCCAATGCTATTTTCAGTCCTTTCTCACGGCTGGCTCTCATGGCTGGTCCGACAGCCTCTCATCAACAAGCCCCCCCCCCTTGTGGCGGGCGGTCGCTTTCTCAATAGCCATCTTTCAAGGCCGACCCGTCGGCCCACCTTCAATTCTCAACTTTCACATTCCCCAATATCCATTCCTTATGACCGTCCCAACGGTCTATGCCCTTCTCGACTTAAGGCTCGGTCTTCTTTACCCTGCCCTTCTCTTTCCAAGGCATCATTCTCTTTCATCCATCCTCATGGCTATTTCAATGACCGACCCACCGGCCTTTTCCATCTCACATTGCTCATTCCAACTCATTCTCAATCAATCTTTCTCAATCAATTATGCAGGGGACCCCAGTGTCCATTTCAAAAGAAATGATCCTTGTCGGGGGCTATTTCCGAACAACCTGGTTAGGGTCGTTCTTTTCCATTCTCAGATCGAACAGCCTGGTTAGAATCACTCCTTTTCATTCTCAAGTCGAACAACCTGGTTAGGGTCATTCCTTTCCATTCTCAAGTTGAGCAGCCTGGTTAGGGTCGTTCCTTTCCATTCTCAAGTTGAANGGGTCGTTCCTTTCCATTCTCAAGTTGAACAACCTGGTTAGGGTTATTCTTTTCCATTCTCAAGTCGAACAACCTGGTTAGGGTCATTCCTTTCCCACTCTCAAGTCGAACAGCCTCGTTAGGGTCATTCCTTTTCATTCTCAATGTTAGCGCCCGAGGGGGTGGGCCTCGAGGACACGGATCCCATTTCTGCCTCGGAGGTTAGAAGGTGGCCATCTTTTTTTCAGTTTTATACATGCGGTTTCCTTTGTCCATTTCTCAACAACATTTACTGTTTATACAAACATCCGACTTGGCGTCTAGTTGCTCGAATTGAGGTTCACAACCCCAAGCAGTACTACCCCACCCGGCCGTTCAACCATAGCAAAAGACCGAGGCACCCCCTTTATTTTCACTTTTTCTAGTTTCTCAGCTCTTAGCTATTTTCAGACTCATTCATGACTCGGTTGGATTAGGCTCCTAGGGAAGGAGTGTTCTTCACGCCCCTTAACCCATAGGTTCCCTAACCTCTCTTGTACTCGACCGGCATTCAATACCTTGCTTTGCTCGTCAATCTGTAGATTATGTACTCACAGTTTCTCTTCTCAAAAGCACAATCCTCATTCCATCCAAAGTTCACAATACCCCCTTCCCAACCAGTCTCATCCCATGCACCGTGTCATTGTCTTGTATACCCACTTTCGAAGGTAGCTTATCCAGAAAGTAGTCTAAAAAATGTTATCTTCTAACTCATCGTGACACAGTCTTAGCTAGTCCTCTCATCATTCATCCTTAGCAAGCTTACTCATGCTATCAACATTCTTGTCGTTCCAATGTTTGCAACGAGAAAGCACGATTCTTGGTCAATACTTAACAACATTTCATCCCTATTGTTGTCCTGTGCCTCAACTCGCTCGGTCACTTGTCCATTCTGTCTTCCCGTGGGCTGTTTAACCCCCAGGCCGGAGGCCATGATTTCTCTCCTCCTCCTCGCGATTTCTCGCAACTTCATCTCACTGTAGAAATTCAAGGGTGTGACCGCCACTCCTGCCTTTGCCAGTTCCCGGGTCTTCATAATCCACTCATGTTTGATCACACTGAGCCATTGTTGAAACCAGTGACTAGGCGTTGGCCCAAACTCATCCTCCCATCAGAAGGCCTCTTCGCGCAGCTGGTGTATCGGGGGTCACGTCTCTTCTCTAGGCCTTGAAATTTCATCTCTCTCATCGCCACTGCTGATTTCTATGACCTCTTGTACTTCGTCATCCTCATCCACCTCTTCTTCCATCCGTATGGAGCTGAACTCACCTGTGAAGTTTCTTGGATCCAAGTTGTAGGGAATCTCCGTCCTCCTTCCATATCCCTCTTCAAAGTCCGGATACCTCCCCTCACAACTGTCGTGGCCGCTCCGCTCTTCATGCGGGCTTTCCCTTCTTTCTTCCCCATCCTTGCGCTCGTCACACCCGTCGTGTCTCCCTCCATTCTCCTCAAGCCAAGGCTCATGTTGTTCTCATCTCTCAGCCCCTCCCTCGTCAGAGGCCTGAGCCTTTTCTTTCATCTCCGCTTTGCCCTCTTCTCCCACATTTTCCCTTTCCTCCTCGCTTTCACTCCCGGACGAAATATATATACCTTCTCCCTTCCGGAGAGGCGAAGGTCCTCTACACACGCGCTTTCCCGCACCCCTGCCCACCACTTGCTTGGATATGAACCCTATGTACAATTTTCTCTTGACAGTCCTCCGCTCTCGACTTGGCCCCGCTCCTCCCTCTTCGGTAGGTCTGTTGACTGCCCCACTATCATTCTCGTTGCCGAATTCCATTTTGCTTTTCTCGTGTTTTTCTTTTTGGTCCTGTATAACAAAATCAACACCCTCCAAACCCCTTATACACACGTTCCCCGAGTCCGGTAGGCGGTTCCCCTTTCCCCAGAATGCTCCCAGTACCCTTCGCATCATGTCACTATTATACATTCCCTTCTCATGCAAATGCCTCATTTGTGATGATCCCATTATTTCCCCATAAAAAACTATGATACAATACTCCCGACAATCTTTCCCGTCGTCACACAAGACCCGTTATCGCAAAGTTCCAAGACATCCTGCCTTCCAACTTCAGTCAGTCCAAACCATTGCCCCAGCCCCCAAAAAATGACAGTCCCACAGACGCGGTCAGAGACAAAACCATAGTGTGGGCAAGTCCGTTGTCAGTCCTTAACTTGTGGTCCCTCAGTTTTCTTATGCTCGGCCTCCTGAAGCCATTGTTCCACTGGGTCCCGACTTAGAAACCTGACCAATCGTTGCCCTGGGAAGGTTCCTTTCAATCCGGCTGCATCCAAATCTTTCAATTCGAAGGTGTTCAGTCCCACCCGCTTGGCGACCCGGTAGGGACCTTTGAACCTCCTCCCAGTTACCCAGACCAAGTACTTTCCAGTGCCGAGTTCCTTAGCAATACCGTCTCCCTCACCTGAAGTGGCTCCTTTCTTACATTCTTAACTTGGTCTCACCTTGCTTTGTTCCTCATTCTGTTGTCTAGTACCCGGTTGGCAATGTCTTCCATGAACTCCTCGTTCCTAAGAACTTGTTGGCATCTCGCCTCAATCAACTGTTATGTGGTTATATGCAGATCGTCATCTACCCTGTTCCAGGTTGGTATTAAGGCTTCCACGGAAAAATTCATCTCTCTTCCGTACCAAAGTTCCGTTGGGATACATCTCGTTGTCCTCTAAGGTGTCATGTTCTCTGAGAAGACAGCCTGCTTAAGATACCTAGGCCAGCTTCCCAGGTTGTCCGCCGCGAGCTTCGCAATCGTGTTCTTTAAGGTCCGGTGCCCTCTTTCCACAGGTGCATTGGCCTCCGGGTGATATGGCTCGATGAGTTTGATTGGTATGCTGAGCCTCTTAAGCATTCCCAACACTTCTTGATTTACAAATTTTGTCCCATTGTCCGCTATAAACCTCCTGATGAAGGCATGCCTCAAGTAGAAATCTTTTATCCAATCCGCTACACTTCTCCCTGTCTTTTTCTTGAGAGCGACCACCTCCACGAACCCACTCAAGTTGTCTCGCGCATCCAGGATATACCTGTACCCATCGGTTGATACAGGCACGATCGCAAGGTCAAGGGGAACCAGATGTCCCAACCCTAGCACCCGAGTTGGTCTAAGTGGCTCGAAGACGCGTGCCGAGCTCCGTTCCTGGCAGATTAGGCAGGTCTGGCAGTACGTGGCGACCATACCTGCCATGCCTGGCCAATAATGGAGCGGTGTTATCTTTGCAAGGGAGTCTGAATCGAAAGCTGATGCAGACCCTGCGTGTGCAAAAGCTGTCTTTCCCTTTCTACTACCACGAGGGAAGACACCTTTCCTCCTATCAGAGGAGGTGGCCTGGATATGAAGTTTGGCCTCTATGTCCAGGGCTGCTCCTTTGGACGATCGATGTCCTCCTGCTAGTCCGTCGTGCATGGCCTGGATAACGCCAAACTGCCTAGATCTCCCGCACACAACTTTTCTAGGCATAGCACCTTCCTCCCTCCTGAACAGATGACCACCCCTTAGGACGTACCTCTCGGCCTCCTCCCTTGCTTTAACGCTGATTTCCATGGGTTGTTTGTTTCCTACCAGCAACAACCCAATCTCCCGACAAATCCCTTCATATATCTGAGCATAGAAAAATTCCCTCCCTTCCTGGTCCTCGTCCTTTCGCTCCTGCATTTGGTTTACCATCCACCGCAACTCTTTCCTTTCCCAATATTCTACTAGGGTCATCACAGCTTCCCGGCCTCCCTCAACCACCATTGCCATTAGTTCCTCCTTTGGTCCTACTACCGCTCCCCATGAATCCCTCTCCTCCTTGCGTCATCGAGTGGTGACTGGTCCTTCTCGAAGTTCTGCTACTGCGGCAAGTGTCCCCTTCTCCAAAGTTCGAATCAACAGTTCTCCCGACGTGCATTCTTCGCCCATCATTTCGTTATTCACTGCGAGCGTCCCTCCTTCGTATTCAAGGAACGCATCTATGGGCTCCACGTTTTCCACACCTTCGGGCGAGACGCAGACCCGGCTTAGCCCGTCCGCCTTGTTTCTGATTTCAGCAATTCCTTCGATCTTGTAATCGAACTGTCAGATGAATCCTACCCATCTCCCTACCGTCAGATTTATAGGGCTATAATTTTTTAAGGCCCCTGCGACATTCGTCGGATTGATCCTTATGACGAACCACCTCCCAAATAGGTAGGCCAGGAAGGTCTTGAGGCAATGCAAAATGGCTAGGATCTCCTTCTTAAACTGCGAGTATCGCCGTTCTGTTGAAATCAGGGTCCTACTTTCGAACCTAATTGGTCTCTCCTTCCCTCCCTCATCCCTTTGGATCAGGACACCGCCTACCAGGGTTGTCGACCCCCGGCCCCGGAACCCCGCCGGGGTTTCGGGGTTCCGGGGGTCGGCACCCGGGACCCCGGCCCCCTGTA